GGGGGGTGAGGTAGGCGGGTTTCTGGTTTTTTGGGGTTTGGAGTTCAGAGTTTTGGGGGTCAAGGGCCTTCGGGGTTTTTAGAGGTTGACGAGTTCGTGGTGTTTGTTCGCTAGTTTGTGCCATTTCGCGGTTTGAGGGAAGGTGTGGAGGGTCCGGGGTTGAGTGAGGTTTCCTTTTAGGGTGTAGGCTTTAGGTTTTAGTTCATGCAGGATGATGCAGGAATCTGGTGTCTGTTGATACGCGTTGGCTTAGGAATTGGGCGCAGGCTCAAGGCTTTAGTTTTTTGGCTTTGATGGCGATGATGACGATGACTGTAGTGGTGAAGATGATCATGTGGAGTCAATCTCGACGGTGATGTTTTGGGTGAGATGATGATCCATAATGAAGCTGCTGCTGATGATGGTTGTGATGATAATGATGATCGGCTTGGCAGTACCAGCTGTTTTCGGACTGACAGTCGTTCCCATCACAACCTTTACTGCTTCGATGTCTTTTCTGCGGCAGCATGCTGGCCCCTCCCAGGCAGCGAAGGCAGCAGCAGAGGCTCTCGAGAAGGCCCTGCAATTGCAGCTGCGTGCCCTAAACCCTAAGCCCTAAACNNAACCCCTAAACCCTAAACCCCACTATTGCGAGATGTGCGCATCATCAGGGCTTGGGACTAGAAGCCCCTCTGGGCTGAAGACGCATGATCTTAGAAGTTCAGGGGCTGGGGAGTGCTCCGAAAGCCTTTTTGGGAGCTTCTGTTTTGGTTAGGTTTAGGGTTCAGGGTTTAGAGTTTAGGATAAGGGACGCCTGATCCCTAAACCCTGAAAACGACAACATGTGCTGCAGAGCCTCTCTCGCTCAGCAAGACCCTTGGACCGACGTCGCAAGATCTGGAGCCCTCAACAATCCGAAGTCGACACATCCAAACCCCAAACCCTAAACCCTAAAACCCAAGACCCTAAAACCCCAAAGCCCTAAACCCTAAACCCTTCGGAAAGGTCCCCAGCCTCCCCGAAGTATGCGGTCTGGAGATCTTGGGCAGCTTGTGACCCGAAATCCTAAACCCTACAGATCTCCTAAGCAGCCGGGATCCTTAGGTTTAGGGTTTAGGGTTTGGGGTTCAGGGTTTAGGGTTTAGGGTTCAGGGTTTAGGGTTTAGGGTTTAGGGTTTAGGGGTTTAGGGGTTTAGGGGTTTAGGGTTTTAGGGTGCATATCCTACCCTAAGCTGCCAGGTACCTACTATACAGGGTACTAGAGCCCCTAGGGCCCTAAAAAGTAGGTACCTGGAGGGCGAGGGCTAAGCAGCCTGATGAAAGAGTTTTCAAGAACAAGCACTCTAGACTGTATCAAGAAGAGAGAGAGAGAGAGAGAGAGAGAGAGAGAAAGAGAGAGAGAAAGAGAGAGAGAGAGAGAACACTTTGCGAGCCAGAGCGGCGGTCGAGGCCAAAACCTCGTTGTCAGAGCTTCGGGAGGAGCTGCGCAGTGCCCTGGCCTGGGCTTGGAGTCCTGTCCGGTGTCTGCATTTTTGCAGGACTTCTCCTGTGCCGTGCAATTAGCGGCAGTAGTAGTGGTGGTGGTGGTGGTAGCAGTGGTAGCGGCTGTAGTAGTCCTAGTAGCAGCAGATCCAGCAGTAGCAGCAGCAGTAGCAGCAGTAGCAATAGCAGAAGCAGTGGCAGTGGCGCTGACAATTGGTAGCATCATGGCATGAAGTGTTCGGGACACCGAACTCCAAGGTGATCTCGCGGCCACGGTGGCAGCCGAGCCACGTTGGCTGCAGACTAATTCGTTTCTTGCAGAGTTCCTTCCGGGCGGGCTAGTAGCAACAGCAGCAGTAGTAGTAGTAGTCGTCGTCGTCGTCGTCGTAGCAAAGGCATAAGTAGCAGCAGTCGTCGTCCTCCTCGTCATCGTCATCTCCCTGAGCACTTGTGTGCAGCCGGGAGCTTGTCCTGGCAACAGGGTTTCGGGTTTAGGGTTTAGGGGTTTAGGCTTTAGGGTCCACGGTTTAGGGTCTAGGGTTTAGGCTCCAGGGTTTAGGGTTTAGGGTTTAGGGCTGTGGTCTCAGAAGAAGCATTGCGCAGCGCAACACTTCTCAGCCCAAATTCCCAAATCCCAAGTCGGCCCGGTGCACCAAGTTTAGCCCGAACTAGAGACCCTGAACCTAAAAAGCTCCAGTTAAGTCTGAGAAGCGGAAACGCAAATCCTGAACCCATGAAGCACCCTAAGCCCTATAAGCTCTAGACTCCCTAAACCCTACATAAACTCTTGAACACGAAAACCGCAAAGACCTGAACCCAAGCCTCAAGCCCTAAACCCTGATAGAAGCCCACCCTGAAACCTAAGCCCTAGACCCTAAACCCTAAACTCTAAGCCCTAAGCCCTAAACCCTAAACCCTAAACCCTACCCAAACCCTAAACCCGAAACCCTAAACCCTAAACTCTAAACTCTAAGCCCTCAGCCCTATAAGTCCCAAAGAGCAAGGAGAGAGAAGGCTGTCGAGAGCTTTGCAGCCCTTGAGAAGGCGTGCGAGACGGGATCGCGTCCAGGAGTTGCAGGACTGGTTTTGGATTCTCAACCCTAAACCCTAAACCCTAAACCCTAAACCCTAAACCCTAAACCGGAGACCCCTTGGGCTTTAGGGTTTTGGGGTTTAGGGTTTAGGGTTTGAGGGCTTCAGGGTTTAGGGTTCAGGGTTTAGGGTTTAAGGTTAACGGTTTAGGGTTTAGGGTTTGAGGGCTTCAGGGTTTAGGGTTTTCGGGTTTTAGGGTTTAGGGGTTGTATTAGGGAGACCCCTTAAAGGGGACCCTTAACCCTACTTACGGCTCTCTTAAAGGGGACCTTATTGAGAGGGTCTATATCCCCAAGGGTCCCCTTAATCCTAAGTCCTACATCCACGTCAAGCACCACAAGTGACGAACCCCCCTCCCCCTCAACTCCTAAACCCTGAATCCGAAACCCCACTTAAAATGCGGTGCTCTAATGCAGCTTCAGGTCAACGGGCTTGGATTTTGAGGTTTTGGGTTGGTGCTTTGGGTGCAGGGTTCGCTGTTTGTTGTTGTGTTTTGTTCGTTCTTGTTGCTGTTGTTGCTGCTGGTTGCTGGTACTGTTGCTGCCTTGTTCTTACATCTCTAGTACCTCTAGTAATCTCTATTGCCATCAGTGTCGTCGCGCAGCCACGCTTTCCATCCCTCACAACCAATTTTGGAACACCCATGCTTGAAACCACAGGCTCTGAACCCCAAACCCTGAAACACCCCAAACCCTGAAAAACCAAACAGAAGCCAAAACTGAGGACAAAGGGGCCCTTAACGAAAACAGGACCCGAGACTTGAAAGCCGCGCAAGGCTTTGGGGTTTAGGGTTTAGGCTGTGAAGTTTGGGTGTAGGGATTGGGATTCGAGGTTTAGTCGGCTTTGGGCCTAAACCCTAAACCCTAATCCCTAATCCGTCCCTAAACCCATTAGAGGGTTTAGGGTTTATGGCCTCGAGCCGGGTCTCCGCATCCCGTTCAGGCTCTAACCGCTCAGGTTGAGTCGACCATGTCAGCCCCTGGGAAGCACTCAGGGCAAAAGTTTGAGGGTTTAGGGTTTAGGGCGTTTCGGGCCCTTACTAAACGCCCATGAGTCGTTGAAGAGTAGGAATGTAGGGGGCACCGAATATCGCCACCATTATAACGTCTCGTCACTCTTAGTGGGCGCGGGCTTAACCTAAGCTAACCCTCCCAATCAAGATACTTAATATATAGGAGTATCCCCATGCAGTTGCTGGTAAATTTAGCGTCTAGCTTCCCACCCGCCTTGACGGTCCAATATGTTCGAAAACCCGAAATACGGGAATTATCAAGTTTCTTATGGTTTCCTTCGGGGTCTACAGCTTTGAGAGAGCCAAAGTATGACCCAAATCTTAAGAGCTAAGCACCCAGAACCCCGTAAGAGTTCAAATCAAGGCCCTAAACCCTAAACCCCGAACCACTGTTGAAGGCCGAAATGGCCAATGCCTGCTGGACAAAGGGGCGTACTTCAACTTAAAAAACAAAACCAAACCCTAAAGCCCAAACACCAAACTTGGAAAAAGCACACACTCACCAAGGCCCTAACCCTAACTCCCAACAGAGGGAGACAGAGGCAAACCTGCGGGCTTGGCTTTTGGGTAGCTGCAGGGTTCCCAGGAGTTGTGGTTTAAACAACCCTAAACCCTAAACCCTAAACCCTAAACCCTAAAGCATAAGCCCGAAGCCCAGGATTTGTTGTGTTTCTCTGTTTTCTGGGTTCGGGGTTTTGGGGGTTCAGGGCTTTCGGGTCCTATGGGGCTTAGGGTTGTTCTTCAGGGCTCAGGGTTTAAGGTGTTTAGGGTCGTTTAGGCGTCCCATGGTGGTGCTCCGATGTTGGCTTCAACGGTTTTGGGGTTGAGGGTTTAGAGTTCGGTTTAGGGTTTAGGCAGTTTAGAGTTTAGGGCTTTAGACGGTGTGTTTTCCGTCTCAGGGCAGGCAGCTTCGCCAGGCGGCATAGTGAGGTATCTTCCTGTAAAGCGGAAGATCACCATAGCACGGCAGTTTCTAGAAGCCCGCCCGAATCAAGACCCTTCCCCCTAAACACCCTAAACCCTAAACTCCCTAAACCCGAAACCCTACACTCCCTAAGCCCTAAACCCTAAACTCCCCAAGCC